TGAGTATAGAAGGTCAGGTCCTGTTTCGATTTCTGTTAAAAACGTCATCGTTTAATTGAGGCACTAGATAATACATACATAACTCTAATTTTGTTTGAATCAGAACTTTCTCTCAACTCTGCGTGAACATAATCCATGCTCTGCATTGATCTTCATAAGCTCAAGATTAGATCTTCAAGCAGAAAAGGTGCGCTAATCGATTTGGAGTAAACGCAACAGGCTAATTTTAATAAAATGTACATGATTTGATAAATTGGCATTTAGCAAACCCAGACATTTTCACAGGCAAAGTATTGGGTAAGTATGGTTTTGATTATAGATATGTATGATAAACTACGTTTATGACGACCACTGACTGAGTGACTGAGTTTGGTTTTACGCCGCTTTTAGCAATATTCCAGCAACATCACGGCGGGGGACACCAGAAATGGGCTTCACACATTGTACCCATGTGGGGATTCGAAACCGGATCTTCGGCGTGACGAGCCAATGCTTTAACCACTAGGCTACCCCACCGCCCCTTATGACGATCAAGCTTATAACGAACTGTTATTGGCTGCCGGCAACCTGCAGTATTAGTAAGTTGAAATGCGTATAACCAGGGAGACTAAAGAGACTGTAGAGTATCCCTGGTATAACAAACGTGGGATGCATTGAAATGATATATAATTGGTGGTCCCTTTGAGATCGTTATACTGACTGACTGACAGTTTGGTTTTACGCCGCTTTTAGCAATATTCCAGCAAAATCACGGCGGGGGGACACCAGAAATGGGCTTCACACATTGTGCCCATGTGGGGATTCGAACACGGGTCTTTGGCGTGACGAGCCAACGCTTTAACCATTAGGCTACCCCACCGCCCCTTGAGATCGTTATAACCGTAGTTGAGTATATATATACAGTATAAAATGCTCGAAGAGCTCCCTGTTTTTATGTCACTGTAGTTGATCTGCCAGGAGGCCGTGTCAGTTTTGTAACTTCTCTTGATTAGTATGTATGAATTGTTGTTTATCATTCACACATTTGAGGCAATAAAAACTATCAACAGGCATTTTGTTGTATTATGTTATGGAAATATTGTATGGACTGTTGACCCTTTCTAAATAAACTGTCAAAAAGAAATGCAAAATATCAATATTTTCTTAAAGTGTCAACTCACACTTTGCATACATGCATTAGGAACACAGTGAACCATGTGTGTTGACTGCGCTAATCAAAGAAAAAGCGTTGTTGATCCTGTTAATTTTTATGAGCGCTTCTGGTAGCTACGCCTTTGCACCTGACAACAACGGCCTAACGACAACATCTGCGCAACTTAGTAATCGTTTCCAGTCAGTCTAAAACATTAACTGACTTTTCATAAACTCAGAAGTGACACAAAATCAGCCATTTTCTTTTGACAGTGATGTTCGAGGTAAAATTTTTTACAAGAAAATATAAAATATTTTCAGTATAATGCAGTTACATATTGCACTTAATGACTATCATAATAACACAGAAACACTGTCTTCAGAAATCTACATTTTACACATACCATTTACAAACATCATTACCCATTGCATACACTGTCCATTGCTTCCATGCTCTAATACACCTGAAAAGAAATATGTTGCCCAAGACAAAGTTTGGTTACACACAACTCACGCTCTGTTTCTGCGTGCGTGTGTAATTAATGTACAGAATCTATACTTTGAAAAGTTCCTTTGAAGTTCTATTAATCACGATCCCAAAATGATGTAATTATTATGTTAAAGGGCAAGTATACACGAAAATAAACCTTTTTGTCTTGCCCGTTTTCATCATGAAAAATGTTTGTCAAGTAGTTTTATATCCAAACCCGTACATATATCTGAAGTAACTCATTTATTTTTATCAATTTTTATATCAATTCATATTTTCAACATTTACCGAGAGTTCTGTGTCCACAATAAACACACCATGGCTTATGTCCCTTGGAAATGACGTCATTGGTGCCCAAATGATAAACGAATGACGTCGTTAGACCTTATTAGACCCATTTCACACGTGGTGCAGCTATAGGTGCGGTTCTTGTGTCTCGATGCGCAGACTACTGTTTTAATCCACCTGTTGCCTTGCCGTCAGCTGGCTATGTCATCAGTTCTACACTGTAATGATGTTGCAGTTTGAAAAAACGTATACATTGTACTAAATGTGTCACCACGTAACCAAATTGTATAACATTCAACCTGTGTCGGTCGCCTTTTCAACGGTATCTTTTTTCACAAAAACTAAAATGTGCACTACATCTAACTTGCCATCGGCGAATGTGCCGGCATTCTACGTTTGTTACTAAAATTACAATATGTCCTCTTCCACCTTCACTTTGATATCGATACCATATCCATGTACATCACGAAAATAAATGCAATTTGCACTTTTGAACTCTGTTTGAAATTCGTTTTTTCTATATCATCCGCTCATTGTAGATCAAATATACTGAAAATTACATGCATCGTAAATCTCGCCAGTTTTACACATTACTACATCACCATTCACTGCATTTTGCGTGTCTTAATTCAAATGTCAAAGTTTACTGGGAGAATTGAATTTAAAAGAAAAAGACCTATCATTGTGATCAGCGGTAGTTTTGTTGTTGTATGATCAAATCACTAATGCTCGTTCTGAAACATTGTCGATGAACCGAATATCGCTGAGAATGTTTTGGAAAATACTCTTGCAAACACAATTTACGTCAAAGTGAATTTTCAGCCATTTTACAGAGTGTTTATAAAATCACGTCACATGTAGATTCTATGTCGGCTGTATTTCGCCCATAAAATCAATTGTATATAGTTCAACACCATCTTCCTGACACGAATTCCTGAATTTCTCATACAGTTCAAAATAAACTGACAAATGGACTTTGTCACCAATTCGAAGTGTTTCAGTGAAATCGAACGAAATATATCAGATGCCACGCTGGGAAAGGACCACTTGTTTGAAAGGTAAACAAAGCCAATCTCAGATTTTACACTGTGCATCCGCTCGCCTACTTGTTGCATACACTTGCTCATTAGTTTTAGAACATGCATGGGAAAGGTATTGTAGCAAGCGATAGTTAAATAAAATAGGTGTATTCCCATGATTTTCTAGATTCATCACAACATATTATAGTTTCTGAAAGCATGACGCCATGACTGACGCAAACTCACGCACAACGATGACGGTACCTCTCTTAATTTCTGACTATTTCCCTTGGTCACAATGAAACAAGAAGAAAATATCAACCAAACAACGAAAATTTCTTCGACAACTGCAGCGTACTCGTGTCAGTGAACACGCCATTTTGAAAAAGTCGCTTCCCGATAGTGATATCATACGGACGTCAACATTGTTATACATATTTGGTATTTTCATCGAGGTGAGGTTATGAATGAAAACACACAAGATCAATCTGTCCTGCTGCTTACATTTTCTGTTCTTATGCTTCTTTCGAATTTTCACAAACTTTTTTCACGTGATTAATTTCAGTATTATTATCTTTTGATTTGGGACTAGACAGCAGACCAGTTTAAAATCAAGTGGCACCAATTACGTCATAATCAAAGGGCGGTAACTCAGGCCTGTTTAGCTCGGCAAACAAAGCTTCAGATTGGCATAACATTTCAGCACTTATTTTGGGGTTATACTTACATTGGTGTATATTTTCAAACATTGGTATTAACTAATTAAAACAGTTCACTTTGATTCACAGAAGAATAAATGTGATTTATTCGTGTACACTTCCCCTTTAATGTAAACTCAGTCAGGTTGCAACACGTTTGTGTAACGTGAATATATGTCCGTATTTCATATTGGTACGTACGTGTATGTCAGTAAAGTATGGGTATGTGTGCGTACGTGTATGTCAGTAAGTATGGGTATGTGTACGTACGCGTATGCATTTACGTAAGAGAGCACATGAAAAGGCGTAGGTATACTGAAATGTACTAGAGTGGGTGGAGTTAGTTTAGTTTTACGCCGCACTCAGCAATATTCCAGCTATATGGCGGCGGTCTGTAAGTAATCGAATCTGGACCAGACAATCCAGTGATCAACAGCATGAGCATCGATCTGCGCAATTGGGAACCGATGGCATAATGTCAACCAAGTCAGCAAGCCTGACCCGATCCCGTTAGTCGATTCTTACGACAAGCATTGGTTACTGAAGGTCAATATTCTAACCCGGGTCTTCTAACCCGGGCCTTCACGGAGTCGAAATGTACTAGATATTATTGGAGTTGACATTCAGTGACGTGCAAAAGCCACGTGTGTTCCATGTTTCTGGATCTAGATGTATTCGGTGGGTTGTTTGTGGTTTGTTTTGTTGTTTTACGCCGCACTCAGCAATATTCCAACGGTGGCGGTCTGTAAGTAATCGAATCTGGACCAGACAATCCCGTGATCAACAGAATGAGCATCGATCTACGCAATTGGGATGATGTATTTGGTTGAAGATGTGGCAGTGCTGTATATAGGTCAGTATTTTACATATTTGTATATATTTAATGTAATGAAATAATGTATTATGTTTTACTGTAAAATACAGAATAAAATAAACTTGTATAACTTATCTATATACTTAGCTCCTGGTTGACTCATCTTTAATTCAACTTTAATACATGTACTATTTATTATTGGCATGAGTATATTTTGGGTAAGACATCCGCCCGTATCTCTCTAAATGTTAACGATGGGGAAAAATTTCGGTAGGAATTCCACCCGTAAGCCCCGCTTGAAATGTATTATGATTATTTCTAGGGGTTAGTGTTTAGGTTTAGGGATCAGATTTAGCAATATTACGTTAGGGTTAGGGTTAGGGTGGGCTTTCTGTAAAAAAACCCCATCTATTCTTAGGCATAGAATGATCAAAAACAAATCCAAAAAAAACCACCCCAAAATGGGGGTTACGGGCGGAAATCTTTCCGAATATACAACAATCCTTGAATGCATTTGATAAGTGTATTAGTTAATTACATTACACACTTAAACAGGACCA